AGAGCAGGGCGGCCGGGCGGTGATGGCAGAGCAGGAAGCCATGGCGGAGCAGAGACATGGACAGACCACTTGACTGAGACCGAACAAGCAGAGAGTTCTTGAATGACCTCCTTGGCCGTGAAAGGACAGACAGTGAGTTCAAGAACGGCCTCCTTGGCTGTGACAGGGCAGGCAGTGAATTTGGAAGTGGACGCTACCACCTCAGGAGGTTCTGCAGCGGATGCCGCCACCTCTGTAGTGGATTCGTGGACAGGAGAGGCCTCCTCAGCCGTGGCGGCCATCTTGGCCGGGGACTCAGCCGTGGTGGCTATCTTGGCCGGGGACTCAGCCGTGGTGGCCATCTTGGCCGGGCACTCAGCCGTGGCGGCCATCTTGGCCGGGGACTCAGCTGTGGTGGCCATCTTGGGAGCAAGCTCTTCAATGAGACTTGACTTGACTTGACTTGACTTGACTTGACTTGACTTGACTTGAACAGACATAGCATGAGCATACTAGACTCACCAACAGTGGGTTAAATACGTTCAATACACGACGAGGGCACAATGGGAACATGAAGCTACTTATAGCAGACAAGGAGGGTCACATGACATGAACAAACCAATGGGGAACAAGACACATGACTAAGACTACCAATCAGAACATGACACATACACAAGGCAGAGAGACATGAGGCAAGGGAAGCATGACACTAACATGGACCATGAAACAATTACAAAATAAAAGACATGGAAAACATGAACATGAAACAAAACACCACATTACAAAAACAAAGGGGATTTACAATTAAAATGAAAACATGGAAGAAATATTGTGATTATTCCTTAATAATTTTATTAGTAGTAGTTGTACGTACATTCTACTGAACAATAGTAATACATTTCTGGCAGAAACAATATATTTTTGACTCTCAGAGCAGTTCTGGAGATGTTGTTCATGTATTTATGTCCTATTTAGTGAGAAGGCAGATGCTGAGATCACCGAGCGTATGTGTGTAGTAAACAAAACTGCATGACATTCATTCAGACCATAGACTAATTTACAGAACATGCAGGAGTTTAAATAGCCTTTTTACGGCTCAATATTTACAGATGCTAGTCCATATCACGATTTAAGTGTAATGACCTTCCTTTGAATAATTCATCCAAACTCTGTGAAAAAAAAAAAAATTCTGTGACATTCCGCGTTATACAACAAAACCGTTTTGCCAAATGCGTGACAGAAATGTTTGCGCTGAATTATGTTCTTAGGGTCTCTGCAGTCCTTAAAAGGCATTAAAAATAAATAAAAACTCTGAAATGATACAAGAAAGTCCTAATGATGATTTCAAGAGGTGTTTCTGTTCAGTCAAGTCTCTTATTTATGTCTGTTTAGTTTCTGTATGCAGCTGCAGCTCTCTCTGCTGGACAGAACACATTCACCAAGAGAGTGTTTATAAAGACAATCATTAATATCATATTCAGCTGTTTGTTTGTTTTTTTGATGATTTTGTTCAAACAGGATTAAATATTTTAAGTAACACAAACCAACTAAAACCACAGAACATCACAGAAGTCTTCTATTGTATTGTGATGCTGTGATAAAAAGAAAATCAATGATTTCACTCTTCAAACGTTGTTTAATATTTAATGTACAAATATTTCCAAACTGTAAGACTTTATCCTGTGCTTTCAGACATATATAATGAAGGCATGACAGTATGCTGTACAGCAGGACTGATCCTCTTCATATTAAATCATCATGTTCACCAGGAGAACGATTCTTCTTCTGAATGCTCTTCTTTTGAAGCACTAACAGCATCGTCTCGGCATCAGCATGAGTTCTGTCTGGAAGATTATTTCCATCACAGAATACAATTATTAAAACACAACTGTGAGTTTATATCTCACAATTCAGACTATTTTTCTGAAGAGTTTATATCTTCCAATTGCAAAATTCAGAGTTTTTTTTTCTCAGAAATGCAAGATTACATCTCATAATTCTGACCTGGCATGCGATCAAGTTAAGAGTCTAACAATTTTCGGGAAAACGTCAATTGCAAGATGTGCACTCGCAATTAAGAGTTAATAACTCGCAATTCTGAGGAAAAATGTAAAAAATTGTGATACATAAACTCAGAATTCTGAGAAAAATGTCAGAGTTGCTAGATGTAAACTCAGAATTAAGAGTTCATAACTTGCTGCTGTGACACAAACTTGCAATTTTGAGGGAAAAACACTGAATTTTGAGATATATACACACAATTGTAATTTTACAACACAATTTCTGAGGAAAAAAGAACTGCAAGATGTAACCTTGCAATTAAGAGTTTATAACTTGCAATAGTGACGAACTCACGATTCTGAGGAAAAATTTTAAAATTGTGATGTTTAAACTCAGAATTATAAGAAAAACGTCAGAAAGAAGGTCCCGCAGCAGGGCTGCAGCCACGGCTTCCACAGGACCTTTGCCCACGTCAGCTGTCTCTCCACCGGCGTCAGAGTTCTGCGGTGCTCCGTCACGGCCCGTTCGACCCGCTCCAGCACCTCTGCCAACCGCGGCTCAGTGTCCGGTGAGAGCGGACGGCTCTCTGATGGATCCCCACTGAGCTCGAACACCAGCGGAGGGCTGTGATACGTCACGAACTCCCCGTGACACATGCAGACGCTGGTGTCGTAACAGCCGACGGCTCCCGCTGGAGAGAAGTTTGGTGTGAAGAAATGGACCTTGAAGATGGAGTCACCTGAGGTTAAAATGACAATTTAGCTTATAATATCTGTCTCAGTGTGTGTTGCTGTTATGCAGAGCTGTGTAATATACTCAATAATGTCTAAATATGATTTTAAAGTGTTTTATTTGTCTCTCAGCTTTCCTAAACTTGAGGAGTTTCATGATTCATCCTCGTCATGTGTTTTGTATGACATATGGAATGCCAAAGCTGCCAAAATAGTCAATAAATAAATACATAAATATACAAAGAAATGTAATAAAACAAATAAATAAATAAATGCATAAATAATTCAAAGCTTCTTCCTTGCTTAGACCAGAACTCTGAACTCGATTGCTCCGTCTGAAGTTTATTTCTACATTTAACCCATATTACCATATGAACAAAGAAATGTAGAAATAAATACACGTGGAAATATATACATTTTGAAATGTGTATAATAAAAAATACAATTGGACATAAGGAAATAAAAGCAGAAATATTTAATTTATTTATTGTGTTTTATTTTTTTTATGTTTCCTTGTAGATTTATTTATTTATCTTTGTTATTTTAGATTTATTTGTATATTTATTTATGTATTTTTTTATTTATTATTTTGCCAGCTTTGGCATTCCATAATGACAGTGTTCAGACAGACATTATTTAATATTCAAACTTAAAGCTGATAAGTTTGATTCATTTCTGTGAATCAGTTCAAACTCTTTCAATGAGTCGATTTAAAACTGATTCAAATAAATAAAATCAGTGAGACACACAATACTTGTCAAAAGCTCGGGGTTGGTAAGATTTTTAATGATTTTGAAGTTTATACATTTATTTGTTCAGAAATACAGTAAAATTTTGAAAAATTACAGTTTAAAACAACTGTTTTCTGTGTGAATATGTGTTAAACTGTAATGTATTTCTGTGATGCGCAGCTGTATTTTCAGCATCATTACTCCAGTCTTCAGTGTCACATGATCTTCAGAAATCAGTATAATATGCTGATCTGCTGCTCAAGAAACATTTCTGATTATTATCAATGCTGAAAACAGTTGTGCTGCACAATATTTTTGTGGAACCTGTGATACATTTTATTTTAGAGGATTCACAGATGAACAGAAAGTTTAAAAAAGCATTTATTTGAAATTTGTAACATTATAAATGTTTGCTTAGGCCAGAACTCTGAACTCGATTGCTCCGTCTGAAGTTTATTTCTACATTTAACCCATATTACCATATGAACAAAGAAATGTAGAAATAAATACACGTGGAAATATATACATTTTGAAATGTGTATAATAAAAAATACAATTGGACATAAGGAAATAAAAGTAGAAATATTTAATTTATTTATTGTGTTTTTTTTATATGTTTTCCTTGTATATTTATTTATTTATCTTTGTTATTTTAGATTTCTTTACTCCAGTCTTCAGTGTCACATGATCTTCAGAAATCAGTATAATATGCTGATCTGCTGCTCGAGAAACATTTCTGATTATTATCAATGCTGAAAACAGTTGTGCTGCACAATATTTTTGTGGAAACCGTGATATATTTTATTTTAGAGGATTCACAGATGAACAGAAAGTTAAAAAAAAAGCATTTATTAGAAATTTGTAACATTATAAATGTCTTTACTGTCACTTTTGGTCAATTGAATGCATCCTTGATTAATAAAAGATATCTGAGCCTAGTTCAATCAGTAGTGTTATTCGTGTTGGTGTGTGTGTGTGTGTGTGTGTGTGTGTGTGTGTTTGAGTCACTCACTGTCGGGAGGGTGCCAGCGTACAGCGTTCAGGTACATGCCGCAGTAGTGGAACATGAACTCGTGCTGCGAGCGGTTCGTTCTGCCCTCCAACAGAGGCATCAGATCACGGCCGTCCAGGATCCTTACAGAATCACACAAACACACACATACAGCACTTACACATCATACAGGATGAGTATTGACGCGCTGGTGTTGTACCTGTCCTCCGGCAGCGTTCCGCCTGCCAGCTTCACCACTGTGGGAAAAACATCCATCAGACTTGTTGGTTCTGCCACTTCTCGTCCCGGGATGAGACGTCCAGGCCAGCGGAATATTCCCGGAACTCGGATTCCTCCCTCCCAGCCGCCCATGGCTTTACCACCTAAACATAAGAGGGTCAGTAATGACACAAAATCATATATTTTTGTTCAGCATCATCATTCCTCCATATGTCTGCTTTTGTGTTTCGTACCTCGATAGATTCCATTCCAGCCTCCTTTCGGACCCTCTTCGATGTGGCCGCCGTGGTCAGAGGTGAAGTACATCAAGGTTTTCTCGGACAGGCCGAGCCTTTCAATGGTCTCCATCATTCTACTTGTGATCAAACACAAGATATTCTCCGTGAGTCACGTTTCAAACAGGTCATCTTATATGACTGAGCTGATTAAACTGTGATCGTGTGATTACTTGGTTTGTTACATTTAAAGGGATAGCTCACTCAGAAATGAAAATTAGCTGTTAATTTACTCACCCTCAGATCATCCAAGATGTAGGTGACTTTTCTTCTTCAGTAGAACAGTAAAGATGATTTTAGCTGAAAGCGTGGCGATTCATAAAACCAGCAGCTACCATTTCTTTGAGAGTCAAAAAAAGCATATCAGGTAACTCAAAATTAAAGGGATAGTTCACCCAAAATGAAAATTCTGTCATTAATTACTCACCCTCATGTCGTTCCAACCCCGAAAGACCTTCATTCATCTTCAGAGCACAAATTGAGATATTGTTGATGAAATCCGAGAGCTTTCTGACCCTCCATAGACAGCAACGCAACTGAAATGTTCAAGGCCCAGAAAGGCAGTAAAGACATCATTAAAATAGTCCATGTGACATCAGTGGTATCATCAGGAGCCACGGATATTAAAGGGTTAGTTCACCCAAAATGAAAATTCTGTAATTAATTACTCCAAACCCGTAAGACCTTCGTTCATCTTTGGAACACAAATTAAGATATTTTTGATGACATCCAAGAGCTTTCTGACCCTGTTACTCTTGTGAATGTTCATCGAAGTCTGACTCGGAAGAGAAGAAATTGTTGAATAAAGTCATCGTGCCGGTTGCCGGTGTTGAAATGCTTGGGACAAAATTATTGGCAACGGCCAAACAATGCTGGAAACGCAGGTTTTTGTAGAACGCAATTCATGGACTGTTTTAAATTAACTGATTTGTACATATTACTGTTAGGGGGTGAAAACGGTTGTATATGTGTGAAGGTTGCTTGTTTGTACAAATCCAGAGACAGAAACCAGTCCTCGGGACAAATGTGTGTGAGGATCTGTTTCAAAGTTAACATTCTGAATGGCCGTCTCATGAGAGCACGATTCAGACTTCTGAGATTGAGAATTGGTCTGAGCCCACCATCTTTCTTGGGAACAAGGAAGTAGCAGCTGTAAAAACCCCACTTGCTGTCCGCTAAGGGGAACCGCTGTATGGTGCCATTCGCAAGCATTGTGTTTACTTCAGACCGTAGAATGTGGTTCGTTGTCCAGTACCAAAGTCCGAATGAGACCTCTGAAGTGAAGTGGCCTGCAAGCGAACTGAAGCGAGTACCCTCGTTCAATGACCTTAAGAATCCAACTTGACACGCCAGGATTGGCTTTCCAAGCCAAGAGCTGGGCGGCAAGCGGTTCTGTTTTTACTAGTGGCAGATGGTCGTGTGGAGATGGGGAGCTGACACTTGTGGTTATAGAAAGAGGAGAAATGCTCTTTTGAGTATGTGGGTCTGCTATCACAGTGGTAGTTTGTTGGGACACACACTGAGTGTGCAGGATGTGTCCTGCTGAAAAAACTCCACCACTCGGAAGGATTCGAATAGGTGGGGAATGATCACAAGCTTTCTTCGAGGGAGTTCCGGCCTGGGCGAGAACTAGCCCTCTCCTCTTCCTCTCTGATCGGGACGGCTTCTGAGGCTCTGGATTCAGCACTACGTGAGGGTAGTGGACCTTGTCTCTTCAGGAAGGGGTACTTCCCGAACTTCTGGCCACCCGGGGGCGCTGTTGAAGACCAGGTTTCCGGCTTTGGCAGGGGCTGAGGCGGCGCCAGCTTGACAGACTGCTGGATGGACGTAGTCTTGGGGCAACTTGTAACAGCCGCCGAGCTGGGGCGCTTAGGCAGAAAATGACGCAACGCTTGCGACATCTTTAGAGCCTCGTAAAATGGTCCGTGAACCCATCCATGGCAGGCCCGAACAGTCCCTTGGGCGAGACTGCGGAGTCAAGGAAGCCTATATTCTCCATTATTTCCCTGAGGCTGAGCCATAGGTGGTGCTCCATAACCACCAGACTGACCATGACCTTGCTGATCCCCCGAGCAGTCGCCTTGGTAGTGACGTCAACCTGCAGGGCTTAGATGGATGCGCAGCAGTCTTGAGACCTCTAGTAGACGGTGGGCAGAGGTGAGCAGCCACTGCCTCATCGAGAATGGCCCAGACAAGCGACGCACTCACTGTGCCCATCTCACTCCTTGCACGAGCTGATTTGAAACTTCATCATGAAATTTTATCTTTTGGAAATCTGCATTTGCTCCGAGGAGGGCCGGATGGCCGCAGCGGACGGCTCTCTTCTTTCCTTATTTTTATTCGGCTTCTTCGGCATAGGGTCAGCAAAGAGATGGTCTCGCTCCTGAAGGAGAAGATTCTGATGAAATGGCATTCTGAGCCGACTTATATAGAGGTCGGCTCCACCCATTCTAGCGGGCTAGAGCGCCATTGGTTTGTGCAGCTACACAAACATTAACAAATCAGGCTTCAGTACCAGGGTAAACAGCAGTTGTCCTCATAAACAGCTTGAAGTGAATGTTTGAAAGGGAACACCTCTATTGTAATACAGCCTTCATTAATTCACCATCATCATCATCTAGCTTGTTCTGAATCAGATCTGAAGTCAATAATAATTTGCTACTTGATTACTTTTTCACCATAAAATGTTTTAACATTATTACTTTTACTTCTAAATAAGTAATTATTCCTGTAAATACTTGTACGTGTACTTGTACTTGAGTATAGTTTTTGGTTTCTCAAGCTGCCTCTGCTCGCGTCTCCAAACACAGAGGATCAGCACAATCAGCAGACGTGTGTTTATCTCTGTGATTCTCAGCATGTGAAGAAATCATCTGACATGACAGACCCTGGAGAACTCTGTGAGAAATATAGAGCAATAACTAAAACATATGATCAATATTTGTGTTTTTCATTGTTCTCTTGTGTTCAATTTAAGGTTTTTTAGCATTAAACTTAAGAAAGTTTCAATGCAAGTTACTTTTGAATGCATTTTATTGAATCTGTAAAGAGTGTCTTCAACAGTTCTGGAGAACCAAGAAAACTCAGGAGTGTCCCGTCTGCAGGAGAAGATCCTCAAAAGATGAACCTCTAGAAAATCTTGCGTTAAAAAATGTATGTGAGTCGTTCCTGAAGGAGAGAAATGAGAGCCGTTCATCAGGATCTGAGGAGATCTGCAGTTTACACAGTGAGAAACTCAAACTCTTCTGTCTGGAGGACAAACAGCCGGTGTGTTTAGTGTGTATTAACTCACAACAACACGACAATCACAAATTCAGACCCATCAGTGAAGTGGTTCCTTCATATAAGGTAGGACAAATGTCTCTTGTTTCATATGTAAAGAAAAATAAGTCATAATAAACACAGATATCATCACATTCATGCTCTCAGTGTTTCTCTCTGCTGTTTTATTCAACTTCATATGACATATACTCTGCTCTGATTTTGTGTGTTTTTGTGTGCACTAAAGTGTAGTCACTGGGTAAGTGATCAAATTCATGCTGTTGAAAAAGTTCTATTAAAGAGTTCTATTTTTATTTTGTTTTTACTCCGGTTGTGTTTGTTTTGTTTACTTTTAATTTCTGAATCAAGTTAGTGTGAGATATATACAAAAAACAGCACTGTATGATGATAGTATTCTCTTCTCTTTACTGTAATCTAGTGTTTTATATATATATTTTTTATTGTTCAATTCTAGGAGGAGCTCAATACAGCACTGAAGTCCTTACAGGAGAAACTAAAAAAGAGAGAAGAAATGAAAGGAGAGTTTGAGAAAACAGTTCAACACATCAAGGTGAGGAAACAGAATCAAGAGTCATTTTCAGTACAGGTCTAGCATCACTAAACACAATTATCATATTTTATATTTAATATAATGGATTCCAGTTGATTATTTTTGTAAATGACGAGCAGCAATCTGCTTCTGGATCTGTTATATGTCGGGTGTCTGGGTTTCTCTGGGATCTGAATGATGTGATGTGTTGATGTGTGTTGATTGAGATGATTGAAGTGAATGTGATTTGATTTCAGTCTCAAGCTGAGCACACAGAGCGTCAGATTAAACAGCAGTTTGAGAAGCTTCATCAGTTTCTCAGAGATGAAGAAGAAGCTACAATCACTGCACTGAGAGAGGAAGAGGAGCAGAAGAAGCAGATGATGAAGGAGAAGCTGGAGGAGATGAACAGACACATCTCAGCTCTTTCACACACAATCAGAGACACGGAGGAGATGATGAAAGCCAGTGACGTCTGCTTTCTGAAGGTCTGATTTCAGATCATCCATTGATTGATTGATTGATGATTGATTGAGTTCTTGATGATCAATGGTGTGTTTGTTCTGCAGGAGTTTCCAGTCACGATGGAAAGGTGAGTGATCTGCTGCTGTCTCTGCTCTCTCTGCTTCTGATCCAAAGCCACTGCAGTTCTGATCCTGAATGTTCTTCCAGAGTCCAGATCTCATCACAGCCGCATCCACAGACGCCTTCTGGAGCTTTGATTCATGCGCCGCTTTACTTGGGCAACCTGCCCTTCAGAGTCTGGAAGAAGATGCAGGACATCATCCAAAACAGTGAGTCTGGAGAAGATCTGTGCTGCTACACACACACTGGAAATGACGCATGAGGGAATATTGA